TTAGCAGTAGAAATCGAGCAGACCCTGCTGCAGTCTGCCGTCAGATTTGGTGGCAGAAAGCGAGCAGAACAATTTGATGGCAGCGTGACACAATTTTGATGGCAGGATCTGCTCAATTTCTGCTACCAATCTGCTGACACAGAATGTCAACCAGTTCTATCAACGGAATGTAAGCAGAATAAGACTTCAGATGAAGTCAGTCTATTAACATTTTTTGATTAAATCTGTTAAATCTGTTGCCAGTTTGCCGACTATTCTGTTAACATTTTGCTGAGTGGTATTTAATTCAATTAATATTTAAATTCAAATGTGAAAAAGAATTTTTCCGTTTTAAAATGCCTGACTATATATAATATCGCAATTATATATTTATCTGTCTGATTGATACATATACGTATATCGATCTAGATATACTTATCTATGATACAAATACTTTTTAATAAAATCAGTACAAAGCTATTATATTTTCAAAAAAAATACGAAAAGACTCCAGAAATACGAAAATATCCAAATAATTTAAATAAAAACAACAATTATAATATAAGTAAAATATGGAAAAATGTTCTTATGATCTTTTTAAATTAGTCGGCCAATTTGAAATAGATTATATCACTGTCAACCTTCTTTCATCTCATCTCCTCTGGTTTGTCTTCCCCACATCTTCAAACATATAAAAAGGCTCTAAAGAAATGCCTCGATATCAGGTTGTTATTCATTTTGATAAAGTAAATTGTAATATTTACAAAATGTTAATAATGTATTTTGATGTAGTAAAGACTTGCAAAATTTTGGATTAGTATAAAATAGTAAAAATATCCATAAAGTTTCAAAAAATATTAAGTTATGTTTAACAATTATTGATTATTTATTAACTTGGATTATTGTAGACTTAGTGGTGGTGAGAATAGCACCAGTGCTAAAATACGTAATACGGCAGTAGTTAATGCAACAAAACATGCGAGAGGTGATATTGATGTCGTGAAGAAACGAGAAGAATTGCAAAGAAGAATAGAAGAAACCAGAAGAAAGTTACAAAGTGTAAGTAACAATCTCTGTACAAAAATAGTGAAATATTTTATAAGAAGTGAAATATTTTTCGCAGTAAAGTTCAATTCTTACTCTTGTAGGTCGGTTATAGATCTTTATTAAAATCCAGCCAAAGTATATCTGATTTGAGCAGTCACTTACAAGAAAAACATCACCATTTGAATAGGCTCAGTACAGGTAATAGATCTAATCAACAAAATCGGAAATTTTTGATTAATCCTTACAAACCTATGCTAAATCTAAAGTCTACATTTAAATCCCAAAAATGCATTAACAATTGTCAAGGTATAGGGAATGCATCGCCTAAATTAGAAATATCGAATGAAAAATCCTTATCGAAAAGTCCAACTATGTTGTGCATTAATGAGAAAGCAAAGCCAATTTTTAGTCGCCCATTAACATTAACATTAAAGAAAACTGAAAAGTATAAGCTGTCCTTGAATAAAGCTAATCAATCTTTGCCTGAGTCTCCTGTATGCGAGGAATTAAAATTATTAAAAAAGCAATGTAAAAAGAATATAAGTCGATTTGCAAAATTTGCTCAGAAGAGAAGATCTTGTAGTTACTTCATTGGTCTGAATGATAATGAGAAGTATATAGAAAATGTTACAAAATCTTTTGAAAGTTTACCTGCTATGAATGAGTATAATATGGAGAATCTTAAAGAAACCATCGACAATGTTGACGAAGGAAATGGTAATTTTAGTGATGATTCATTGGAAGAAGATTTCAAAAATTCGCCTCGACGTTGCATTAGTGATTATCAAATAAACGTTCATATGAATGACTATAGAAGTTATTCGAATTATCAGAATTTCCAGAAAAAAAATTTAACTGGCTCTCAAGAAAGTATACTTTCGGATGCCTCTGTTGAATCTTTTTTTAAAGGAAGTGCTGAAATCTTAGACTATAATCATTATGATCACGATAGACATTCGAGTGCAAGTTTCTTTTTGTCTCGGCGTAAAATGCAAGAAGGTAGAAGTCAGGAAAGCATATTAACTGATGAATCGGATTATCAAATATTTCCATTACGCGAGAACATTGATCATCGAAGTACAGAAAGCGTATTAACAGACGACTCAGATTCTTTGGTGAGATCTGCACCTTTGGAAATGTTGTTTGATTCACATTACAAACGAAAAAGACAAAATTCCGAAACTTATAATGGAGATTCTAATAATATCATAGATGTCACCGCAGATAATGCACAGAATTCAGCTAACGAGAACACATTGTACAGAGCAGTGTTTAAATCAAAATCTTTACAGGATACTAGAATTAGCAAAGCGAAAAGCAATATGAATTTTGTAGAGAATAATGCACCATTGAAGACTCATGTTTATTACGAATTTAATTTTGAAAATGAACACAAGGAGAATGTAGATAATGTGATGGTTTGCGGCGGATCGGAAACTATCCCGCGTAGCAATAGCCTTAAAGTACCCACGAAACCAGAATCGACGATGATCTTGAATGATTTTGTTGCTCATAAACCACCAAAACCCAAAAGAAACTCATCTCGTACTCAAAGCATGCGCAATAGAACTAAATCAACTTGGAAATATATTGACACTTCACCTTTATCGCTTGGTTTAACAAGCACGACCGATTCTACCATGGCATCTTCTATGAATTTAATGAAGTCCGAATATCAAACACAGGACAATACGGAAATGAAACGAGATCCAGTCGATTCAGAAGTAATGCAGCAATTCTTGCAATCTTCAAATTATGTGTTACAATCTGACAAGAATAAAGACAGTAGAAGCAAATTTCACAGTTTGCAGACTTGTCACAGTAATACGACTTGTCATAGTAAAAACGATACTTTTCAGGATGAATTAATATATGACAGCAATGACTCATATCATCATCCAATAAACATTAATAGTACAAGAGAAAGACAGAGTGTATCTTACAATAAGGAACAAATACATTTTTTCGAGAATGACATTCTAACGAAAGATATGTACTCTAATGAAACGTACGATTCATTAGAGCCTGGTGGAATCACTTGCGAAGCGCAAAGAAAAGAATTATCACTCAGCAATTCGAATTTACAATCCATTAATGACGGTATTAACAATCTGGATGCAAACATGGATTTTAGAATAACTCGCGCTATCGAGGGTACCGTGAAATTACTTTCAAAGGAATTTGAAAACTTAGTAAGGCAGAAACAATATTTGACAAAAGAGAAGTATTCACAATTGACGCAAGATCAAGAAATAAGCGAAAACTTTGCTAAATTAGAGGCCGAACGAGACGGTAAATTTTGCACTATCAAACGTGATATACGGATACATTCATGCGGCGAGGACAGCGACTGCACTGATATGTTGATGGATAGATCGTTGATGGAGAGTGGTTCTTCTACATCTGCCTCAAGTTGCACTAACTCGCCCAAAAGAATGTGGCCGCCTGCGTCGCGATGCCCGAGTTATATGAAATGGACGAAAACTTTGCCGACAATCAATCAAACAATTCTTACTACAAAACATCCTTATAAAGGTATTGAATGAGTAGAAAATGCTTGTATATATTTTCTACGTATAGTTACTTACATATTATTGTCTTATAATCGAGTACAAATTCATGTATTACGTTATGTTTACATTTAAGAAATATTTTTTATATGTACATATAAACTCAAATTCTTCATTGTGAATGTGCAATTATATAACACATATAATAGTATGTATAATTAGATGCGAAAATGAATTATTTTAACAAAATAGTTAATCGTCCGCTTTTTTATTGCTTAAGAACAATCGAACTTGATTTTATTTCAAGGCGACAGCAACTTCTCAGTTTGAATGCTTTTCGAATGTAAAGATTGTAATATTATCATTTTCATTTTGCACGGAATGTAGTCGCATGTTTTTCTCATTAAGTTACAATATTTATCCTTTCTCTTTCATTATACTCTTATTTTTTACTGTAATGTTTTACTTTATTATTTTATCTTATTTTATTATATTTTGCAAAAAGCAAATAATAATTTCATATTACAGAACATTTGCAAAATTAAACTCATACTTTAAAATTTTCTTACATATAGAGACAAATTATTATAAGAACATTTTACATATTTTATCCATTTTATATATTTTTGCATTATTGTAATTCGTTTAATCATTATCATATGTGTAATTTGTTCAGTCATTTACAAATAAAAATAAGCTTAGTAAGCCCTAATTTCCAAAAAAAAAAAAAGATAAATGCATCGTGCAAAAGTAGTGATTAGTGCATGTATGCACGCATTGTCAACAGTTGGCAGTAAGGGGGGGCAAATCTCGTCAAAAGTTATTGACAGTGAAGAAGAAGAAACTGGTATGAGACGTGCCTGTTCATTGAGTGATCTTTCCATCAGTCCTTCAAATAGATTATTGCATGGTCCTATACAAGGTATCTCTCTCATCATTATTCATTATCAATAATATATTTTGATGCGCTCGATAAATTATATAGTTAATAAGTTATTTTTATTAAAGCAAATTACTATTAAATATTATATACTTATATTTGATTTTTGTATGTTGAAAATATATATAAAATATATAAGTAACTCTCTTTCCTATAAATAGCGACAATAGTTTCAGGAAAACTAGGAAATAAAAATATAGGCGCAATATCAAGATTAGCAAGTACTTATAATACTAGCAACCAATCCAGGCATTCCGGAACTTCAGGAAAAAACCACTCGACTCATATAACAAGAAGCAGCAGTGTTGGTGTCTTAAACCAAGTATGTGTATATATATGTTTTACGATATATACCAGGTGTATGCATAAGTTTTTCCGGTTTAACTAAGAGATGTTGCCAACGAAAAGTACGCAGCGTATTAATTTGACACATACATCATTTTGTTCGTCTGACATTTAAAACTACAAACACACACAAGTTGAGTCCGTCAAAAACTAGCGTCTTTGTTTTATCGTTCAGTGATCATGTCGAGTTTTGTGCCTGAAAAAGAACATTTGCGGCACGCATTGCTTTTTTTATTTAATCAAAAGAAAAAGGCTGTTGAAAGTCATCGTTTGCTGGTAGAAACATATGGTGAACACGCTCCATCGATTAGAACATGTGAGACATGGTTTCGACAATTTAAAAATGGTGATTTCAATGTGAAAGACAGTGAGCGCTCTGGTAGATCACAAAAATGCGAAGACGAGCAATTGCAGGAGTTATTGGATGATGACCCAACTCAAACTCAACGGCAATTAGCAGAAGCATTACATGTATCACAAGAAACAATCAGCAGACGTTTACGAGCAATGGGAAAGATCAATAAACTCGGTAAATGGGTCCCACACGATTTGAATGAACGTCAAATGGAAAATCGCAAAGTCACTTGTGAAATGCTACTTCAACGCCACGAAAGGAAATCATTTTTGTATCGAATTGTGACGAGTGACGAAACATGGATTTATTTTGAAAACCCGAAGCGGAAAAAATCGTGGCTTTCACCTGACGAAGCCGGTCCATCAACACCAAGGTCAAATCGCTTCGGCAAGAAGACCATGCTCTGTGTCTGGTGGGACCAGAGCGGTATATTATGAACTCTTGAAGCCCGGCGAAACCGTTAATACACAACGCTATCGCCAACAAATGATTAATTTAAACCATGCATTAATCGAAAGACCGGAATGGGCCAGAAAACATGGCAAAGTGATTTTGTTACACGACAATGCGCCGTCTCACACAGCAAAACCAGTGAAAGACACCTTGAAATCGCTTGGATGGGACATCCTTCTGCACCCGCCGTACTCTCCAGACCTGGCGCCATCTGACTACCACCTCTTCGGGTGATATTAATGGGGCACGCGCTCGCAGAGCAGCACTTCAGCAATTTCGAGGAAGTTGGAAAATGGCTCGACGAATGGTTTGCCGCAAAAGACAAGCAGTTTTTCTGGCATGGTATTCATAAATTACCTGAAAGATGGGCGAAATGTGTAGAAGCCGATGGCCAATATTTTGAATAAAAAAAAAATTAATTTCCCTTGAAAATTACGTGTCTTTTTTTACTAAAAAACCGGAAAAAACTTATGCATACACCTGGTACAATGTATACAATAAAAATCAAGTATATGTTAAATAAAAATTTTAATTTTGTAGAGTGATTCAGAATCAGATATTGGTATCACAGGAGGAAATAAAGGATGGAGTGGTCAATCCAGTAGAACAAGTGGTTTGATGAGACCAACAATTAGTTCTCAAAATAAAATCAATCATCAAAATAAATCAAGTTCTTCTAATACTATTTCATCAATCTTAAGAAGACGAGGAATACAAGGAGCCTTCTCCACTGGTATTTAAATTTTCATTGTCAGCAATCAAATATATTAAAAAATATTGTTTAAAATATATATTTATTTTGCAGCTAATCTAAGTCAAGTGGGAAATCAAGAAGATTCAAGTTCAGAAGATACTTCATCAAATGAAAAAGGAGGAAAACCGGTATTACCGCCAAGACCTAGAAGTATTAGTATTGATCATTCCTCTGCTAGGTAAAGACTTAATGTTTTAATAGTTTTTATTTTTATTACTAAAAAATTTTCAGCATAAATGAAAAATTAATATTTGCATCATTTATTATTTAAATTATGATTAAAAATATAGTTGTATTTTGTGCCAAGATGCAACAGCGAGGCAAACTATGTGTCTATGTGTGTATCTATATGTGAGCTGTCTAACTGCGATTCTTAATAACAATTAGATCAATTAAGTTTTTAGTAAATTCTTTATCGAAAATTAAGGTTTAAAATATCTTCATTTTTTTTCATATGTCTTATGATAAAAAAATATCAAGTCCAAATTGACAAAGAAACTGATAAGGATGCAAAATTAAGAAAGTCATATACAACCAATCACCATGAAACTTGACACAGACATATGACATAATATGAGGTAAAATATGAAGAAATTTAACCAAAATCGAATAATGCTAAATTGGCTAAATGAGGATTCTGACCAAAAATCAGAAAATGGATCCAATCATGTAACGACAATGCTCATATCTTGACAATAGAATAACATTATTCGTGAATGGTCTACTAAATAACCATTGATAATTGACAGATTGAATGTGCGGTAATTTTCAATTACTATCATCAGTTTATTACATTGTTTCCCATGTTTTTTGTTGCACTAAAAAAATTTTCAGAGCTCGCAAATTGATCACTTCAAAGTTTTCGGTTTTCCTCAGTGTCTTCACATTTTTTTCACTCTTCAAGCCCATGAAAATTATGCAAAAATGGATATCAACAACGACAAGGAAGAAAATGGATAAAACCTTGCCAATCATTAATCGTCCATTTTATCGAACTAGACGTACTCTCCATTTATATAGCTGGCAAAACTTATAGTGTTTGTGAAGAATCAGTCATAAACAAAGCTATTTTATTGTCAAAGTGAAGTATGAGTGATAAACAGACACTGTCATCATACAACTTATTTTTTGGTTTTTAATCAATTAGCCATTCGCTCATTTAGCCATTCGATTTTTATTAGATTTTTTCATATTTTATCTAAACATCACGTCTATGTCAAATTTTATGACGATTAATTTTGTACCACAAAATTTTCCTAATTTTGCATGTTCTTTTATGTTTGAGAAACATCATTATTATTGTTATTGAGAAAACATTACCTGAACAAAACTATCTTTTAGAAAAAGAAAAAATGACGCCAAATCCATGGCGTGTTCTTGATTTCTATAAAAAAATTTTTTATATTTTATAGAAAATTTTCATATACAAATCTATTTCATTAAAAATTGTTATATCAAAAATGAACCAATTTTTAATTAATACAAAAATATATCAAAAATGATGCTAATTTCTAATAAGTTCAAATTAGAAAAAAAACTTACGAAGGTAAAAAGGATTTTATTAGTCGAAAACATCAATTTGCAATTGTCAAAAATTTAATAAACTTATAAATACGTCCATATAAAATATAAAAGAATACCTTGCAAAAAAGTAAGATACATATGTTAAAGAAAAAGAAGTCTTTTAAGCTGATTTTATAGAATATAAGTTTTAAAACCAATAAAAACAATATTGATAATGTAGAAAGTTTAATTTCAAGAGAATTCAAATTTTTAACGGGCCGGTATAGGTCCCCGATATCTCGATCGAGTGAAGTTGAAATTTGGCAGGAATTATATTTTTGTGGATTGAAAGTATTCTGGAGGATGCTGTGGAAAGAATTTGAAAATAAAAATAAGGACCATCCTAATGTACATATATACAAGATAAAAAAATCCCAAAAAGATCAAAATAAGACATTTGAGAACAAAATGTTTTATACAAAAGTTATAGAGTTTCAACAAATACATCAAATAATATATTTGATTTGGAGAGCAAGTATAGAAAAGCCTTCAAAGTCAACTTTGAAATTTTAAACTTCTATTTTTAATTCTTGTAGCTGTTCGAGATTTTTTTAAAACACTAGAATGTAACTCCTTTTGATTAACTATTTTTCAAAATATGAGTTGATAAAGTTCAAATGTGTTAAAAGAAATAAATATTTCGAAATGACTGTATTTTAAAAATTTAACTTGTTCTTTGTTGACAGAGAAACTTGATCAATTTAATTTGTTTTATGTGGTTAGACAATTTTGATATAGAAACCAGTTTAACTTTTTCTTATAAGATGAAAATAAGTTATGATAATTTTTTTGATAGAAATGATGTATGGAAATTATATTCTATATATAGAATGATAAAACGTTGAAAAGGTAGGAATGTGTCAATTAGTTCTCCTCTTAAATAATCGATGGATCTATATAAATCCGAGATTTCTATATCTAAAATCTTAAATTTATACAGTACAGTTCAATCTTCAATTTATGTATAATTACTTTTATTTACGATCTTCTGTAAGTTTTAATTGGTGACAAGTTTTAATTTTTATTTATTCCATCTATTATGATAACTTACTTAAATTATGATAACTTACTTAAAACGGTCTCACTTTCGTGCGCGGATAGTCGATCAGTCGGATAACCAGGTGAAAAAGTGAGAGCGACAGAGATTTGGTTGAAATATTTATTCTCAGTAACAAGTAAAATTCGTGATGTCTTGAGTGAGTTTGGTGAGTAGTGGTAATTTTGAACACCATAAGATATTAATCAGTAAGTATAAAAGTAGAAACTTTCTTAGAGTATAAATTTTAGTATCTCATTGATATTATTTATATATTTTAATATATAATACTTGAAATATGCAAGTTAAAATTATCAACCTTCACTGTTTAGAAAACAGTATTCATTAAATATTAAATTTATAAAAAATTTGTAAATTAGAAAGTTGGACGCTAATGTATAATAATTAATAATATTATATATGAATATTATATATCTGTTTTTAAATTTATACTCACTGTTTAATTAATTTTACAAATGCTTGAAATTTTTTTGAAGTTATCCTTTTTTATTACAAAGATTTTATATTAAAATTTGATTTATGTTGTGGCAATTATTTCGTCACGACTTTCACGGCCACATTTTTTTCATGCGGCAGTACTTGGATTTCGCCGAATTATCTATTCTCAGAGAATCGAACTACAAAAATACACGCAAATACAAAGACGTTGCATGTATTCATCTTCGATATCAGCTCAACAGAATAGATTTATTTTCTATATTCTCTTGTAATAATTTCTTTTTGTAATAATTTTTAAAAAAATCTTTTGTAATAATCTTTTTTCGCGTTAACCCATTGATCATGGTGTAGGGTTTCGTCGGGCGACCCGACGAGACCAGGGAGTACCCTGGTACTCGGAGATAGTCATCGAGAGTGCTCGACGCCACCAGGGAGATCCTGACTTTTGACTTTTGCCAAGGAGAGCCCTGATGAGATTATCGGTATTAGGAAACCAAGCGTTCTCGGCTGTATCGAGGTGCTTCTCGACAACGTTTTGGAAAGCGATAGGAACGGAGGTCTTCTATGATCGAGCGTACTCGGCCGTGCTGAGGTGTACTTCGGTACGTTTTGATTTACTGTTTGGTTCTCAATTCGGAATTTTTTTCACTTTTCTTGCACGATGCTGTGCTCAAGACTTCGAGAATGAGACAGCTTTCTGCTCTCTGTGGAAAGTGAGACCCTTTTATCCGAGATTGGCTGCGGTATTTCCATACGGAACGGATTTGGATTGGCCGATCTCGGGGAAGAATGATAGGAAAATCGGAAGTAAGAATTGGATATGGAGCGGGGAATGTATTTGGTTCGGTGCGGCACGGAGAGCGCAATAATTTCAAGGCGCGATATTCGGCGCGGTGCAGGGCGCACGCTCCGCGAAAATAACACGTGTTCGTCGAATACGTGTATTGACTCTCCGAATTATCTCGGAGAATCTTTTATTTGAACAGATTAAAATTGGCGCAAACGCAGGTTTGCGAGTCGCATTCTGCCCGATGACCGGCGGTCCTCGACAGATAGTCGAAGGAAAATAATTAGCACGAAGCGGAGGAACGCTTCGTTACACACTTAAGTTATTATTTCTACTTTTTTACTTTTATTTTTAGTTTATAGTTTTTACCTTTCATTGGAAAGCGATAGGAACGGAGGTCTTCTATGATCGAGCGTACTCGGCCGTGCTGGGGTGTATCTCGTGGAGTGTATTACGTTTTGACTTACTGTTTGGTTCTCGAATTCGGAATCTTTCTCGACTTTTTTTGCATGATGCTGTGCTCAAGACTTCGAGAACGGGACAAGTGCTCTCTGTGGAAAATGAGACCCTTTTATCCGAGATTGTGGCTGTGGTATTTCGATACGGAACGGATTCGGATTGGCCGATCTTGGGTTATCACATAAAAATTTTATTATATGCTTGATAGAATTCTCAGATCTATTAGAATTTGTCTTCAACATTTACATTATTTTACATTTACATTATTTTAATATCTGCGAATTTATTTTATATCATTGGACTTAACGTAAGTTTCGTCTCTGACCGAAGAATTAGTTATGAGAAGAATTTTTAAACCATGGATTACGTTATTTTTATCGCGAAATAAATAAACCGAACTTAAACCGTATGGAGATTGTTTTTTATTCATTTATTATTGTTTGTCTAACTTTGATATAATCTCTTTGCTTTTGTTACGACACACTTTTACATCGTTTATGTTATTCTTTGTGATTTGTTTAGGTTATCTATAAATCATTATCTGTTTATTTTTTTTTTATTATACTGAGATACATCATATTAGAACGTTGACTATTTGTTGTATTTTTTCTTATTTTGTATGTTCTAAGGATTGTTCTCAATATTTTATTATATTATATTTTCGTCCTGTAAGCAGAAAGAGAAGATAGAATAGAGTACACATGGAAATGAGATTTATAATTGTACTGTTTTATAGGCTTTCAATTTTTCATATAAAGTGAGATCAATTTTCTACATTTCTCTCCCTATTTACAGAATGAAACGGACTCACGGAATTCCTTCCCCGCGCATATGTCTATATACATATTAGCAAATTATATTCTCCAGCACTAATGTAAATTGTTATATTTTTCAAATTTTTTTGTCAATAATTTTTTAATAAACAAGAGGATTATAAAGCGCGCTATTTATTTTTTTATATTTTTATATTTTTATATATTTTTATATAAAATACATTTTATAAAATACAATTAGTCTTACATTACAGACCTTTTTATCAATGGATCAAATAATGATTAAAATCTCTTCTAGAAATTATTCAGACGAATGCTCATGTCACCTTTATGTCAATACCTCACGGATATCAACTTTTTTTTTAATGTTAGTAGTTCCTATTCAAATATCTCCAGATAGCTCCATATGCATTCTTTGGATTAATTTTGTGTAAATTTATCAATTTATTTTAAAATATTTTTGAAAAAAATGTTTTTAATTTAGACATTGAACCTAACTACATATTCAATACCCAGAGTATCCGGATATTCATTGCATTTCGTATTAAAAAGATAGAAAAGGGAAATTTATTTCGGTATTTATTATAGATAGTCAAAGGACTAACTTATTTGTATATATAGAATATGAAATAAAAAATATTATATATAGATATAGGCCGAGTACATGTTAACTAACAAATTACAACG